TAGTCGTAGTCGTAGTTGTAGTAGTCTTAATCGTAATAATGGTAGTAGTCGTAGTCGTAGTAGCAATAATAGTAGCAGTAGTAGTAGTAGTAGTAGTCGTCGTCGTAGTCGGTGTCGTAGTCGTAGTAGTAGTCGTAGTAGTACTACTCGTAGTAGTAGTAGTAGTAGTAGTAGTAGTAGTAGTAGTAGTAGTGGTAGTAGTTGTAGTAGTCGTAGTCGTAGTCGTAGTAGTAGTAGTAGTAGTAGTAGTAGTAGTAGTAGTAGTAGTGGTAGTAGTTGTAGTAGTCGTAGTAGTAGTAGTAGTAGTAGTAGTAGTAGTAGTAGTAGTAGTAGTAGTAGTAGTAGTACTAGTCGTAGCACTAGTAGTAGTAGTAGTCGTCGTCGTAGTAGAATTCGTAGTATTATTAACATGAATATTAGTAGTAGTGGTAGTAGTAGTAGTAGTGGTAGTAGTCGTCGTCGTGGTAGTAGTAGTAGAAATAATAGTAGTAGTAGTAGTAGTAGTAGTAGTCGTAGTAGTCGTCGTAGTCATAGTCGCAGCAGTCGTAATAGTATAATAGTAGTTGTAGTAGTAGTAGTAGCAGTAGTAGCAATAGTAGTAGTAATATTCACAGCAGTAGTAGCAGTGGTAGTAGTAGTTACAGTAGAAATAGTAGTAGTAGTAGTAGTAGTAGAAACAGACATATTAATAGTAGTAGTAGTAGAAATAGTAGTAGTAGTAGTAGTAGTAGTAGTTACAATAGAAATAGTAGTAGAAATAGTGGAAGTAGTAGTAGCAGTGGTAGTCGTAGAAATATTCACAGACATGAGTAGTTACAGTAGTAGCAGTAGAAATAGTAGTAGTAGTAGAAGAAGGAGTAGTAGTAGTAGCAGTAGTAGTAGTAGTAGGGATAGTAGTATAAGTAGTCGTTGTAGTAGTAGTAGGAGTAGTGGTGGTAGTAGTAGCCGCAGCAGAAGTAGTCGTAGTCGTATGCGTAGCTGTAGTACTTAGTCGTAAAACTGATAGTAGTAGTAGTGGTCGTAGTAGTAGTAGAAGTAGTAGTAGCAGTAGGAGTAGTAATACGAGTAGTAGCAGTAGTAGCAGTAGTAGTGATAGTAGTAGTCGTAGTCGGTGTCGTAGTCGTAATCGTGGTAGTAGTAGTAGTAGTAGTAGTAGTAGTAGTCGTCGTCGTAGTAGTAGCAGTAGTGGTAGTAGTAGTAGTAGTCGTACGAGTCGCAGTACCGGTAGTAGTGGTAGTAGTAGGAGTAGTAGTAGCAGTAGTAGTCGTAGTACAATTTGTAATTTTAGTATTATTATTAGTAGTGAGATGAACTAGTAAAAAATGGGCAATATTGCTCGGCGCGAAAGACCCAGTAGTAGTGTTAGTTGAGCCGTAATAGTATTAGTAAGTATGTGGTCGTAGTAGTATTAGCAGGAGTAGTGAGTAGAGACAGTAGTAGTAGTAGTAGTGGGTGATGGTGGTGTGGTGGTTGTAGTAGTGGTAAGTGGTAGTAGTAGTAGTGAGAGTAGGGAGGAGTGTAGTAGTTGCAGTAGCTGGTAGTAGTAGTAGTATAGTTTAGTGATACAAGTAACTGGTAACCATTAGTAGTAAGTGGTAGTAGTATTAGTAGTAGTAAGGATAGTGGTAGTAGTAGTAGGTCGTAGTAGCAGTAGTAGTCGGAGTAGCCGTAATCGTATTAGTGGTCCTCAGTATTAATTTATTGTAGTCGTAGTAGTCAGTAGTAGTAGTCGTCGTAGTAGTAGTATAGTCAGTAGTAATCGTAGTAGTAGTAGTAACAGTAGTAGTAGTAGTAGGAGTTTAGTAGTAGTAGTGGTAGTCGCAGTATAGTAGAGTAGTCGTAGTAGCAGTGGTAATTCTACTAGTACTATACTGGTATTATCGTAGTAGTAGTCAGTAAGTAGTAGTTAGTATTAGTACGTAGGTAGTGGTAGTAGAGCAGTAGTAGTTAAAGAAGTAGTAGTTAGTAAAAATAGTAGTGGTAAGTAAGTATCTAAGATGTAAAAAAGATAGTAATATAACAAGTTCCCCAACGTAGCAGTAGTAGTAGTAGTCGTAGTAGTAGTAGTAGTGGTAGTTGTCGTCGTCGTAGTAGTAGTAGTAGCAGTAGTAGTAGTAGTAGTAGTAGTAGTAGTAGTAGTAATAGGTGGTGGTCGTAGTAGTGGTAGCAACCGTAGTTGTAGTCGTAGTCCTAGTCCTGGTCGTGGTCGTAGTCGCAGTAGTAGTGGTAGGAATGGCACGCAAAAATGCAATCCGCGAACGGGCGGGCCCCTCGGCATGTGAGATGGCGCACGCCTGTAGGCCAACCAACAAACCAACCAACCAGCTAGGCAGGCAACCAACCAGCCAACCAGCCAGCGAGGCAACCAAGCAGCCAACCAGCTAAAGAACCAGCCAGCCAGCCAACCAGGCCACCAACAAACTGCCAACCAGCTACGGGGGGACGGAGCCGTAGTAGTAGTAGCAGAAGTAGTAGTAGTAGTAGTAGTAGTAGCAGTATTAAAAGTAGTAGTAGTAGTCGAAGTAGTAGCCGTAATCGTAGTAGTAGTAGTAGTAGTAGTAGAAGTAGAAGTAGCAGTAGTAGTAGTAGTAGTAGTAGTAGAAGTAGTAGTAGTAGTAGTAGTAGTAGTAGTAGTAGTAGTAATAGTAGTAGTAGTAGTAGTAATAGTAATAGCAGTCGTCGTAGTAGTAGCAGCAGCAGTAGTAGTAGTAGTAGTAGTAGTAGTAGTAGTATCAGTAGTAGAAGTAGTAGTAGTACTACTACTACTTAGTACTAGTACTAGTACTAATAGTAGTAAGGTATCGTACGTAGTAGTAGTATAAAGTAAGTACTAGCATAGTAGGTAGTAGTTATCCTTCGTAAGGAGTAGTCGTAGTAGTAGCCGTCTAGTAGTAGTATTCGTCGTAGTAGTATATTATATTAACAGTGTCAGTACTAGTAGGAAGTAGTAATGAAGGGGAGTCAGTGGTTGGATAGCATGTAAGTCTTAAGTAGTAGACGTATAGTATTTAGGAATACTACTTCTAGGGACTAGTGCTAGTAGTAGTCCGTAGTAGTAGTAGAGTAGTAGTAGTAAGTATAGTAAGTAGTAAGTGTGCAGTAGTACGTAGTAGTAGTGATGATAAAGTCAAGCGTAGTAGTAGTAGTAGTAGTATTAGTAGTAGTAGTATAGTGTCGATCCGTAGTAGTAGTATCAGTAGTAGTAGTAGTAGTAGTAGTAGTAGTAGTAGTAGTAGTAGTAGTAGTAGTAGTAGTGGTAGTTGTCGTAGTTGTCGTAGCCCAAGACGGGCCAACAGGCCTCCAAGAGGGCCTCCAGGAAGGCCCGAAGAGGCCAACAACATTGATTTCCCAGTAATGTTTGAAGGATTGTGGCATTCATTTTGTTTTCGGACTTCCGACGGCCGAGACGGCCCAAGAGCCCCCAAAAATCGCCCAAGGTCTCCAGTATGGCCCCAAGATGGCCCCAGAACAGCCCCAAGAGGCCCCCAAGACGGCCGAGGAGGCCTCCAAGACGCCCACGATGGCCTGTAAGACGGCCCTGGAGCACCCCAAGAAGGCCCCACGTCGGCCCAGAGAGGCCACCCAAACGGCTTCCGACTGCGTCAGACGGGCCAGGAGCCCACCAAGATGGCCGAAGTTGGCTCTAGGCTAGCCCAAGACGGGCCAACAGGCAAGAGGGCCTCCAGGAAGGCCCGAAGAGGCCAACAACATTGATTTCCCAGTAATGTCTGAAGGATTGTGGCATTCGTTTTGTTTTCGGCCTTCCGACGGCCCAAGAGGCCCAAGAGCCCCAAAGGTCGCCCAAGAAGTCTCCAGTACGGCCCCAAGACGGCCCAAGAGGCCCCCAAGACGGGCAAGGAGGCCTCCAAGACGCTCAAGATGGCCTCCAAGACGGCCCTGGAGCACCCCAAGAAAGCCCCAAGCCGGCCCAGAGAGGCCCCAAAGACGGCTTCCGACGGCGTCAGACGGGCCAGGAGCCCACCCAGACGGCAAAAGAGGCCCCGAGAAGCCCCCAAAGGTCCAAGAGGCTCCCAGGAAGCTCCCAGGAGGCCCCAACAGTGTCCCCAGAGGCTGCCAAGATGCCCCCTCCTCCTCCTCCTCCTCCTCCACCTCCTCCTCCGCATCCTCTTGATCTTCCCCGCCATCATCCTCCAAGTGTTCCCCGAAGGGTTTCCACAACGGTTGGGGGAACACATGGCCCGATACCTTGGCAGAGCTTTTGCCACAACGCTCGGCCACATGGGCGATTCTAGAAGGCGGGGGGCGGCGGTGATTCGCCGTATGCGTCTTCGATCCGCCGCCTTCTGCTGATACATCACAGGGGTGCCCGGCGTGCTAAAGTTCTGATGTGTTTTGGTTATTGTTAGGATCTCCCCCTGGGCTTCGGCTCAGTGTGGTGGCCACCGGAAAGGCCGCACAGGTTAACCGGATGGTTGCCTCTCTTGCTCCTGCATGGTCTAAAGATGATGGACCACAAGGTGCCTCCAAGATGGCCAAGATGGCCAGAGATGGCCTCCAAGATGCCTCCAAGACGACCAAGAGGGCCACAAGAGCACAAGATGGCCCCCAGACGCATCTAAGACGGCCCAAGATGCACCCTAGATGCCCTCAAGATGGTCCAAGACAGCGCCAGAGGCCCATAAGAGGCCTCCCAGACGGCTCAAGAGGCCTCCAAGAGGTCCCCCAGGAAAGCCCGAGAATGCCAACGTCGACAGGGGGCCGGCGGTGATTCGCCGTAGGAGTCTTCGATTATAGTAAAAAACGCGTCTAGGAGGAGCACAGTCCAGGTGGGCAGAACATGAGACCAGGAGGCGCCAGGAGGACGTGAAAAGGATGAAGGAGGGAAAGGAGAGGAGAGGGGAGGGGAAAGCAGCAGCAGCGATGCTACTCAGACCCCACAGGATGGCATCCCATCCTGATCGGCCGATGCCCCCCATCTCTCCCGACCGCCACCACCACGACCACCACCACGGCGACGGCAACGGCGGCGGCGGGGCGGCCCGTGCGAGGGCCGCCGCGCCGAGTGGTCGTGCGAGGGCCGCCGCGTCGTCGGCGGCTCGCGCGACGGGGCGCGGGCCCCACGCGGCTCGGCCGAGCGCGGGCTCGGGCCACGCGGGGAGCGCGGCGGGTCCCGCATGGGGCGGCCCCGCGCGGCCGGAACGGGCCGCGGGCGCGGCCGCGGGCGCGGGCGCGGCGGCGTCGCTCGCTGGCGCGGGCGGCCGCGGCTGGGGCGCAGCGAGCGGCGCGGGCGTCCACGGCCGGGGGTGCAGCCGCGGCGGTCGCGGCTCATGATCCTCCATTCCCATTTCTTCACAAACAACTCGTCCCTGTCGCACCCCGAGTCACGTCGGTAAGGCGGGCTGGTCGTTTCGCATGAGACTTCCTCACCATTTACGATCCTCGAGCTTAAACTGTGCAGCGACAGCTTCACGGACGGAGGGCGGTACCTTTTCAAAAGGGGGTGTTTGTCTCGTCTTAGCTCCGCGAATATTCGTCTTCAAAGTTCACGAGAATTTCACAAATGGAGGGCAGATAGTTTTCAAAATGTGGCCCTCGCGCTTAGCACCGCGCACAGTCGTCTTCAAAGTTTGCAAGAGATTCACGGATGGAAGGCGTGACTTCTCAAAATGTGGCCCTCGCATTTGCGTCACGCACATGCGTCTGACAAAAACTACGACAATGTTATGGACTCTTATGTTTGAGTCCCGACATGGTTTTGGGGCACGATGTAGGACTCCCAGAAAGATCAGTTATGCTGGATGCGGTGATCAAGTCCCAGGAATGGCGTTCTGGCACGATGCAGGATTGTCAGGACGCAACACGCACTTTAATTCGCGGCGTTGAAGTCACAGGACCTGTATTCTGGCACGGTTCAGGGCTTTCAGACGCTTGTCTTCCAACGGGGCACTTCCCCCAGTGGAAATGACCCTTGTAGGGACTTCGGAATAGAAAACTTAGAGGGAGGGCATATTCCAATATCGTTGATGGGTCTTGGCTTTACACTAGTCATCCTCCTCCTCTTCCTGCCCCCCTCCTTCTCCTCCTCCTCCTCATCATCATCATCACCATCACCATCAGCATCACCATCATCATCCACATCATCATCATCATCATCATCATCATCATCATCATCATCATCATCAACACCACCATCGTCATTATCATCGGCATCATCATCAGTATCATCATCAGCATCATCATCGTGATCATCAGCAGCATCACCATCCTCATCCTCATCATCATCCTCGGCATCAACATACTCATCCCCAGCATCAGCATCGTCATCATCATCACAACCACCAGCAGCATCGTCAGCATCATCAACATTAGCATCGTCTTAATCATCATCATCATCATCAGCAGCAGCAGCAACATCGTCAGCACCAGCATCATCACCATCATCCTCAGCAGCAGCATAATTGTGATCATTCTCAAGAGCCATCATTACCAGCACCAGCACAATAACAATCAACAAACTTGCCAGCATCCTCAGAAGCAGCATCAGCAATATGTTCAGCATTCCTCGTCCTCCTGTTCCCCCTAGTTCCCTCTTCCCTCGACCAGTATCTTCGTCATCCACCTCCTCATTATCGTCATCATCCTCCACCTTCCTCTCCTCCGCCTCGTTTCTCCTCGTCCTGCTCCTGCTGCACCTGTGCATCCTCCTGCTTGTAATGAACACATCGTGCTCCTCATCCTCATAGTCCTCCTACTGTTCCTACTTCCCCTGCTCTCACTCTTCCTCATCCTCTTCGTCATCATCGTCATCAGTTTCACCATCAGCATCATCATTCTCAGCATCAGCAGCATCATACTCACCCAACCTCATCATCCTCCACCCTCCTCTCCCTCATCTTTATCCTCATCATCCTCATCCCCATCCCCTTCCTTCTCCTCAAGTCAGCATCATCATCATCATCGTCGCCGCCACCACAATCCGCATCATCCTCATCCTCATCCTCATCCTCATCAGCAGCAGCACCATCATTATAATAATCGTCGTCATCATCACTATCATCGTCCTTCTCCTTCTCCTGCGACTCCTGCTGCTGCCCATCGTCCTTGCCTTTCTCCTGCTCATCAGGTCCTCCGTATCCACTTGGCTCGACACCATGCCTGGGCGATAGTCAATGGTCAGAGGCGCTGCGCCATCTGTGGCATCAAAGCTCAATTCCTGATCTGGCTAATGATCCTCAAGAGCCGCAAACTGCTGTTGTTTGCCCATATCCTAAGTGGGCTTCTCGTTTCCTCTGTACACTCCCCGCGCAGGAACAGTCCTCCTCAACCTCGTCTCCTTGCTCTCGCCGGAGGACACTCAGACCTCCTTCCGCCATCACCTTTCACAGTCTCCACCGCAATCACAACACCATCATCATTATCATCACCACCATCACCGTCAGCATCGTCATCGTCATCACACGGGAGGCACCACGTCATCATCAACATCATCACACCATCAGCATCAGCATCAGCATCAGCAGCATCAGCATCACCATCACCATCATCGCCATCATCATCAACATCATCATCATCATCATCATCATCATCATCATCATCATCATCATAACCATCACCATCACCATCATTGTAATCACCATCATCAGCATCATCATTCTCAATCATCAACCACCAATCATCAATCATCATCATCGTCATCATCATCATCATTGTCGTCGTCGTCATCGTCATCGTCGTCCGCATCCTCGTCCTCATCAACATCATCACGCACACTCACATAGTCACCATCATCATCTGTCAGTGAGCCGCGTGGATGTCTTGAGCGGGAGTCCCATTCCTGAGAAACCTGACAGGATGTCTCGAAAGGCAGGCTCGTCTGTGAGCGATTCGAGGTGGAGCCTCGAACGGGGTCCCTGTTACAGGTGGGGCCTACACTTCATGTTACGAATCCGAGGTGGCCATCGCAATATGTTATATTCAAGCACGGGTTTGGTGACACCTGGGAGCATGAATCGCAAGGAAATCTCGAGAGGGAGTCTCGTTCCTGAGCAATGAGGGAGGTTGTCTCGAGCGGGAGCCCTCGTCTGCGAGTGAATTGCGAAAACGTCTCGAACAAGGGCCCCGTCAGTATCGGGCCCGCAATTAATGTTACAGTCAAGTCGCGTGCTAAGGATGCGCGGTAAGGATGTAAGAGCCGTGGAAGGCCATGGTGGCGTATTCGAGCTGGGCCGGCCAGCGAAAATCGCCAAGGATGGGCCGAAAGAACACGGACTACGATGCGACTTGACTGTACTAATCCGAGACAGCCTCCGGAATACCATGAAACAAACAACAGGTTTGACGACACCTGGGTGCATGAATCGCGAGAAGTCTTGAATAAGAGCCTCGCCTGTGAGCGATTCGAGAGGGAGTCTGAAACGGAAACCCCGTCCACACTTCATGTTACTCATCCGAGGTGGCCATCATAAGACGTTATATAATAAACAGAAATTTGTCACCTAAGATCTCCGGTGACTGGTTCAGAAATTTCTAATTCGCGCGCGCGGGGCCGCCCTTCGGGGTACCCGGCCGAAAAATACCCCAACAAGGCTCCATCAGAGATGGTTTTGCTCCCGGGCGCCGCCCTCGGGGCCCCCGATAGAACCATCAGAAAGGACAAAAGGCCCCCAAAGGGCCCCAAAGATGGTCTAAGAGGTGTCCGAGACACCCCCAAGACGGCCCATGAGCCCTTCAAGAGCACTCCCCAGAGGGCCCTAAAAGGCACAGTTCATCGATTTCCCGTCGGCTTTGGAGGATTTTGGCGTTCTCGCCTTTGCGGCTTCCCGACGCTCAAAGACGGCCTGAGAGGCTTCGAGGATCGCCCCAAGACGGCCCAAGAGGCCCTCAAGTGGGCTCCAAGGCGGCTTCAAGACTGCCCCATGGGTCTCCAAGACGGTCTTCGGGGGCCCCAAGAATGCCCCAAGAGAGGCTCCAGAGGGGGAACACGAAACTACATTTCAAGCCCTCGGCCTTCAGAGGCCCCCAACAGGCCCCAAGAGACCCCCAAGAGGAGAGCCCAAGGGGTCCCCAAGAGGCCCTCGGGCGCCCCCCAGGGAGCCCCCAGGAGGCCCCCAAGCGGCTCCAGAAGGCCCCCAAGAGGCTCCCAAGAAGCTTCAAGACTGCTCCCCAAAAGCTTTCCAAAGTTCCCGGGAGCGTTCCGAAGAGACCCCGAGAAGCGTCACTGAGGACTCAGACCCGCAAGCTAGCCATGTCGGCGAACAGTCGATGCCGAAATCCTCACGACAAGCTCCAGAAAAAAACTGCATCACCTCCATGCCTGTTGCCGCCACGCCTCTGGAAAATAAATGCGGTCGCCAAGCAACGCCGCATGGGCCACGAACGCGCCGGCAAGCGCCAGAGATGGCACAATACGGGCCGGCGGAATGAGCGAAGCGATTCAATGATCAGAAGCGTGGTGACACCTGGGAGCATGAATCCCGAGGAAGTCTCGAACGGGAACATTTGGAGAACCTGGGCCACAGGAGGCCCCAGGAGGCTTCAGGAAACCCTGGGACGCCCCTGGAGGATCCAGCAATCGCCGGGAAACCCAAGGAGGCACGGGGCCACCAGGAATTCCCGAATTGGCATCGGAAAACCACCAGGAGGCCCCAGGAAGTCACTGGAGGCCCCAAGAGGCCCGATGAGGACCTCGTTGGCCCCAGGACCCCAGGAGATCCCCAAGAAAAACAAAAAAATCTGATCCCCGAGCGCGGTGCGCCGTGGCGCGTGGGAGAACGCCCGCCTGCCTGGCCCCCCACCCATTCCTCTCCTTCTCAAACGACCTTTCTGCGCCACCTCTAGAAACCACCGTTTAACAAACAAGCAACCTTTCTTGAGCAACGTCACTGTAACCACCTTGGAATCGGGGCCGTGTACCTTATGACGCGCGGTAGATGATGATGCGCGCCGCTTCCGCATTTCCCTGTTCCGGGCTTCGTCCTTCCACGGCGAATGTCATCGCAAACCGTCGCTACAGCGGAACCAGCGTGTAAGCCAGGGTCGCGGTGGCCTTCCCCCGGCGAAACCCCGCGTGGCGCACCACTCAGCGCCGCGCCACTCAACTGCATTCTTGAACCACCTTTTATACCAGCATTCTCGCAGCGTG